AGGGACCGGTACAGCCGGTGGAAGGGCGTTTCTGTCTCCCTCGGGCCAGCCGCAGCTACCTGAGCGGCCCTAGAGTTGCACTGCCTGCATCAGGTGAAAAAGGCTCCAGCAGCAGCAGCTGCCCGGTGCTTTATTGTAGGTTACTGGGAAACTTCCCAAGTGGAAATAGTATTTCCGACTTGCCCATTGAAGGAGTTTGTTTTTTGGTCCTGAGTAAACTCCTCACACTAACTGAAATCCTGTAGGCAAAAAATGGGGTCTTGACCTGTTTCTTCTCAATGTCTGAAGTGTACAGGTTTTGGTTGTTGGAATATCCAGTATCTTTGGATACCATAAAAGGTTTTAATCTGAAGTGCTTCTTTTTGTTGGAGACTACCTCTTAGAGTTCGAAACCTGAAGCTTACAATGATGTGGTGGTGGTTCCTTCAGAGCCAAAACTGCAGATATGCTATATTTACTTAGTGTTTTGTAGGTTTTATATGAGAGCATCAGAATCCTCGTTTATATACTCCTTTCAGCATTGTCTGCAGAATTTCAGTTGTATCTGCATGCTCTACTTACACTTTTTAGTCTCTTGTCTGAATTTTGCCTGTTGTCTGGTTCCCAGTGGGCACTCAAATTGCCATGCCTATGCAGTTCATTTGATGTGCTTCATGTCAGCTGATAAAGACAGTAGACTCCTGGAAAAGGTGGCACTTGGGAATGATCTGCAGTCCACAGAGTTATCCACGTATCCCAGTTCATTTTGGCCTGTGACACAGAATGGCAGATGAATTGCTTTCCTGGCTGCAGCTTTCAGATGAGCCAGAAGTGGGGAGCAAAGAGGAAATGGGTGTATACTACATAATACAACCGCATGGTAAATGCTGTGCTTCCTGGAAGGGCTGATCACATGACAGGGAAAGACTGCAGCCGTTGTGTGAAGCTACAGTGCAGGTGAAACGACATGATCTGCGGCCAGAAAGATTGAGCTGATTAGGTTCCTTTTACAGAAAAGCAGGGACTGTATGTAATTCCCTGGTACTTAGGCTTGGATTTCAGATCTGACTTCATGCACCTCATTTTTGCAAGTTTGATGCCGATCCACTTGAAATTCCACAGATTTTCTACAGTAATAGAAATTAAGTAGTTAAGGGGGGATTTTGTTTAATATGCTATACTTCTCTTACTCTAAGAACTCTCAAAATTAGACTAGAGTTCAATATAAAAATTAATAGAAAATTGATAGAAAATTATTTTTATAGAATGTTTGCGTATGACAAGATAATGATTTTGGCAGTACTGGCCAGCATCTAGCAATCTCAATCTGTTATGGCATGATGGATGCAGACAGAGACTACAGAAAATAGCTGAACACAACTTGCATATACGTCTTGTGTCCTGTTGATATTTCAGGCTCTTAACTTTGTTTTCTTATGCCTGATATCAAGGTTCAGTTAGATAAAAGCTGAAGAATCGTGCAAATGCTTCCTAGAGAAGAACTTCAGTAATGGCAGTTTCTGCAAACTTTTAAAGGACATACTATAAAGTAACAAATTGGAAAATTCTTCATTAAATATTTGATGAGAACTTGTGCTCAAGGCAGTTAGATTAAGCTGTGGCAGAGTATTATATCTTTGAAGTTACATCCTTTAGCTTCTACGTTGTCTGAAATGGTCAAGATGAGTTAAGCGATGTGCTTTCCTAATCGTACAGGGGAGCCCTTAATATTATTTTCTTGACTTAATTAAAATTATTAGTGATTACATTAGAATTAATGTCTTACAAATTAGAGTAGAAATCAAGCTGGTTTGGAAAGCAGTCTCTAGTAGTTACGCAGATTATGAACTATTAATACTTTATTTTGTTTGTAGATAAGACAAATCCGATACCTCCACAGAACAGCAGTGTGCAATGCCAGTGGAGGAGCTTTATTTGTGGTAAGTAATTTTCTACCTTACTGGAAGGGAGATGTGGCACAAGAGTTTGGCGTATGCTTTTTTAATCTGCCCAAAAGATCCTGATGGACAGGACTTGCTGTAGAAGTGTGGCGGAATTTACAAAGAAGTGTTTTTTCAGTAGCACTTTTCATTAAGTGGTGATGGAGTGTCCAAAAGTTTTATTTTTGTTTTTGGTCTTGTGTTTCTTATATAATGAAAACTTTTGTTTATTAATAGTAATGGTGATATTAGCAGCGTTTGTGTGTGACTGCATACTCTGCTTAAACTTCTTATAAAACAGTTCTTGTTTACTTTTGTTATTGAAGTTAATTAATTGTTTGTAATTGAAGGTCATGGAACTTTCTGCAGGCACAATTTCTTGATTTCTAAAATTTGCCACAGAATTACCCTTAGGTCCAGGTCTAGCCCTGTTCGCTAGCAGTCGAAAAGTGCAGTTCTTGTTCATATTATATATCCTATAGCACGTTGCATACTGATGAAACCATTAGAGTCATAGAATTGTGTAGGTTGGAAAAGACCTTTAAGATCAAGTCCAACCGATTTAGGAGAAATCGGCACTTTACTAGAGAATTGACTGCTTTGTTGAAAGCAGGTGCTCAGCACTTTTGGACAGATTTTTTTTGTTGTTGTCTTTTTCTGCAGCTGTCTCTATGGCTTTTCTCATCAGATTAAATTAATGAGGTTACAGTACATGCTTTGTATACTTTTCCAGAAACTTGAGTATTCATCGATGATTTATGGAGTGAGAGCTGATATTGAAGGAATAGAGGAAACAGTGTAGGCTGACAGCTTAGGAAACTTGACGTGTAATTTGAGGTTGGTGAAGGTGGTGAAGGCGAAAGGTGTCTTTGGCACCCTAATGGATGCTGGTGTCTGGCATACAAAGCTAAATAGCTTTGTGAATTCTTCAGGCATTTTTAAAGATTTATGTAACTGCTGAAACTACTTTCTGGAGGGAGGACCCTGAAAATAGAGAAAAGGAAGTAGAAAATAAAAAGTGTGTGTTTTAGTTAGCTACTTGTGATATCCAGCTGTCTTATTTAATAGCATCATTCACTCCTTGTATTTCACAACAGAATTTTTGCTAGCAGAGCATAGGAAATTGTTTGTGTGGTTTCTTTGTTTGAGAATAAAAAAAGAGTAAAACTTGTGGGTTGAGATAAGAACAGTTTAATAATTGAAATAAAATAAAAATACTACTACTAATTATTATTATAATTTTATGAAAAGGAAGACAACAAAAAGAGAAATAAAACCCAAGGAAGACAAGTGATGCACAGTGCAATTGTTTACCACCTGCTGACTGATGCCCAGACAGCACTGGAGCAGTGATCGATCCCCCCTGGCCAACTCCACCCAGTTTAAATACTAAGCATGATGTCATAGAGTATGGAATATCCCTTTGGCTAGTTCAGGTCAGCTGTCCTGGCCGTGCTCCCTCCAAGCTTCTCATGTGCATCCTTGCTGGCAGAGCATGGGAAGCTGAACAGTCCTTGAATTAGGATAAGCACTACTTAACAACAATTAAACATCGGTGTGTTATCAACATTTTCTCACTGAATCAGCTACTAGGAATAAAATTAACTCTATCCCGGCCCAAACCAGGACACTACAACTAAAAACCTTCAGAGCAAATTTCAGATGTTATTTCACACAGCAAATTTCAAGGGAAACTCTTCTGCTGAGTTAAGCTGAAAACATTATTTTAATCAACACTAGCTGTTTGTATACAATCAGAAAATGGGACTCTTTTTCCACAGATTTCTATAGGGGGGAAAAAGAACATTAAAAAGTCTTAGTTTTCTGCAATATTACAGGCAGATGAAGTGTCAAAGGTTGCTGAAAACTGCTTGTAGAGGAATAGTAGGCTTACCTGGGAGTAACTTGTAAGCTGTTGTGGTGGTCCTCTTTGTATGTCAGTTGACACACAAGTGTCTTGGTTTTGTTTTGCAAAGCATATTGGTGCTTCTTGTTGTGCTTTCAGTATAAGAAACCTGTATGTGAGGAAGGGAGATGCATGCAGTGTATTTGTTTTGTAACAGCAGGGGACATGCTGGCAGGGCAGCTGGTTGTCTTAAATCTAGAATTAAAAGGCAGTGCTGATTTGCATACCCTTGTATCCCTTTGCAAACTTCTTTCATGCAAGTTTTCTCCTTATGTGTTATCAGAAACATACAGAAATAAGAAAACTTCTACTGAAACTCCTTTTTATTCCGAAACAGACAAGTTAAAGTCTAGTGCCATCACAGTCAGCTAGATCACACTTCCAGAGAGAGTATATCAAGTTTAAAATTAGGTAGATTGTTTGCCCATAGTAACCCAAGAGAGTTGCTCCATATCTTACTATATTTCTGATAGCTAGGGAAGGCCTGATTTCAAATATATTTTCATTTACAGTAGCTACCTTTCTTTAAACATGTGTCCTCTATCTTTGACTTTTACCTGTCTTCAGCCTCCTTAGCTAAAACTTAAACAGCTAAACTAAACCAGCTAAAACTTAACTCTTCTACTTTGTAGTTTTCAACACATGGATGGAGTTTCCTTAACTCATCAAGTGCCCTGATGAGGGGTTTGTCATAGGGCTGCACAGGGATTCAGTACAGAAGGTTAGAATGGCTGTATTGTAGTTCTAGGGGCTTGTGAAGATGATCAGTGAAATACCTAAGTCTGAGAGCACTTCCACCATTATTAATTTAAGAGAGGTTTATATCTTGAGTTCTGCTGGAATAGTGAATGTATTTTGCCTTTGGAGGAGAAATAATAAATTTATTTTCATTGCTGATTTGATAGGGCCTCTTAACAACTTTGTTGTTGGTCTAAACGTGGCATGATCTTAGTGTTCACTTGTGCTGTAGCTTTTGCAGTGTATCTTGGAGCCTTACTGTGCAGAACTGACTGTGGCAAACTAGCTTCAGAGATAAAATCTTGTATTATTCCTCTTCACATGTAGGGTATTTAAGGATATCAGTTTAGAGATGGTACACTGAAAAGAACAGCTGTTCCAAAGAGGGAGAATTTAATAAATCAAATATACTGATTTGCAAAAGAAACTGAGATCAAGTACAGTTGTAAGTGTATCAAATAGCTATGGAAGGCAAAATAGCAGCCTGAAATAAAACTGGCATGCAGATTTCAGAAGGAAAACTTAAGTTATGGAAATACTTATCATGAATCACAGATTTGATCTCTGCAGCTCAGGCACAGAACAGGTCTGTCAGGGAAAAAAAAATTAAAGTTGCGCAGTATTTCCAGTCATTTTTTCCTTCATCAGCCTTTTTGTGAGGCCTTACATTAAAATTGGTAGAAAACCTTCACCAACACTGCCTATGAGGAGTCAGATCCTTTATCTGGAAGGGTCAGTCTAAAACAGCGGCAACTGTGTTCTGAAAGCTGTTTATGTAACCTTGTAGACCACACAATAAACAATAAATTCATCCTTAATAAAATATCAGTGTGTTCAAAGGCAATCGGTTATCTTTCTGTAATTGCTGTTATTAGGGGAAAGTCATCCTTGGAGAAGGTACATGCTGATGGTGGTTCTGTATGTGACTTGGAACTGTGGTAGGGGTACATGCTCTCAAATTGACGGTGGCAGTTGTATGGTCTGCTCAAGGATATGGACAGGATGAGCAAGGGGAATCTCTCACTAGACCAGCAGATGTAATTGAAGTCAAGTATTTGGCCCTTCAATATTTCTGAATCCAGGAATAGCTACGGACCATACGTACTTTAAGTTCTGCGCCAATAACAATCTTTCAGTATGTAAGTATCTTGCAGTGTTAACATTTTTCATTAAATCCTTTGCTGCTTAATAAGAACAGTGTGGAAACTGCAAAATCACCCTAGGTTACTTGAGGAAATGATCAAAGTGAACGTCAGTGGAGTGGTTTTCTTTCTCCTAAATATACTTTTAAAGCTTTTATTGTTAGCTGGCTGTGGATTACTTTTAACCATCAAGCCTCGAGTATAGCTTGCGTTTCCCCCAAACTTTCCAATTAATTTGAAACTTTCTCAACTGAATAAAGTTTGGAAAGAAATTTAGCTATGAGTATTTCAAGGATAGCATAATGGGCTGCTTAGAGAGAACTGAAAGTTTCGTGCAGGAAGTTTTTCTGGTGGATAAGGATTTTCATCAGAACTAAGATTTTTATTATAGGAAAATATCACTTTCTCTAAGACTTCCAAATTTGTATTTTCTAAAAATAGAAGAATGATTTTCATGTTTCAATTTTATGATTCCCTAGAAGACCACCGTAAAAATAATACAATAAATACTTTATTTTGGAAATAATTCTTCAAAATTCTGCTTCTTCCATTCAGATTCAGAATCGTGTATAAAATTAAAATGTTGAAATCCTTTACAAATCAAATTACTGTGTTAAAATGGGTTAATGTCTGTTTGAATGTGCAAACATTTAGTTATATAGCAAGCTTCTTGATGAATTTTCTATAGTTAGTCTCATGGGAAAAGAAAAAATGGGCTGTTGTTTTAGTCCCTTGTTGTTATTAAACAGAGAATTCTTTAATTTACCTGTGATGAGCTTGAACATAATTGCCAAGCTGTATTAACAGTGTTAAAAAATGTGTATTTTGTAACACCACCGTATTCCTCAAGAAATATTTTTTTTTAATAGGAAATAACGGGAATAAGTAATTACTTTTAAGAGTGATGAAATAATTATCAATATTTTGGTAACTTTCCCAGAGGTATTTAATCATTTATGATTGAGTACTATGAATTTTTTATCTGGAATATACCTGTTTTATTGAAGCAAGTTAACTGTAACTGTCTAATGAGAAGATATTTTTACATCAGTAAATCTATCCTGAATAATTTCCTGACAACCCTATTTTTCCATGTTTTCTTTTTCTTTTCCCGAAGCACAGGGATAGTGCTGAAAATAATCCAGATACTCCATTTGAGTTCACACCTGAAAACCAAAAGGTATGCAGACAAAGAAAAGTTTAAATACGTGGACTTTTCTTTAGATTAGTACTGATATTTTTTTCCTCTTTTCCTTTAAAAAGCGAATAGAAGCAATTATAAACAACTACCCAGGGGGACACAAGTCTGCAGCTGTCATGGCAGTACTAGATTTGGCCCAAAGACAGCATGGATGGTTGCCCATATCAGCTATGAACAAGGTATTTAGTACTTAATTATCTTTCAAGCATAATTTCACTGTTTTCTTTAGATATTTTACTAGAATATTAGCATTTATTTATCGAAGTGTACTAACATGGGAATTTGCATGTGGCACAGAATTGTGAGAATTCCCTATGAGACTACGTTTCTAAAAATAAGAGAAAACTAATACAGAAAACTCAGAGATTACATTACATAATGTTAGCCCATTGCTAGAAACTACAGACTGAACAAAACAAAAATTTCATGAGCCCTATTTAGATAGGTTCTTTTCCCAGAATCATCCTGGAATTAGGAACAGAAACCTGAAATATTTTGTTCGCTGCTGAATTCAGGGAAAGAAAAAAGATAACGATGGTGGGTTTTTCTCCTCTCAGGTCGGCAGCACCACACACATGGCCAGGACTGTACTTGCCTTCCAGGCCTGTGGATGTTTGCAAAGCAGTGTTAGTGCAGTATGTGTCAGGAGTGTTCTGTAACACCTCACAGCAAGTGCCTGGAAGGCCTATCGAATTATTTATTACAGTTGTTTTAAAATAAGCAAGCAAGCAACTACTCTGCCCCAAAGTGGTAAGCTGCATGACAGTAATTAAATACCAAGAAATAAAGTCTGTCATATTTTGTGTTACAATCATCAGTTTTGAAGTGAAAAGTTTTAATGAAGATATGCTAAGTAAGGATTGTGAGCATTACAGAAACTACTGGAATTAAGTACACATTTAGAGAAGGGCAAATTTTGTCTGGTACTGTTTCTACAGCGTAGCATAAAGCCTCAAATTTCCATTAATGCTGAATGGGAAAAGTATTTTTGTTTATTTACTCTAAGTTTCAGATTGATACTATGTTTAAAATGATCTTAAGATTTTTAAGTGAACAGATATTTTCAGTGGTTTGTTATTTGCCTGGAACATAAAACAGTTACACTTTTGAAAACCCAGCCAGTTCTCAACTGGAGCAGTTTGCCAGGGTTCCAGGTTAATGAGGTCAGGGACCCTGGCACCAGGACTGGCTCCATGGAGATGGTGCTTCACAACTTATTTATTAGTTGTGACACAAATCTGCAGATGTGGCCATGGTGTTTCTAGGGCCAGCCAGGTGTGTCACAGAACCTGAGACAGACCTGCTCTATCTGAATTAGGCGGGCGTAGTACCAGCCTGAAGTATTCCCTTTCCAAAAGGCTGACCTGGGTCAGTGTGGGCAAGTGTGTGCGAGTTGGCTCCTTCGTACTGCAAAAGAGCAGAACTGCGGCATGAGCTGGAGCTGGCAGTGAAAGCTGGAACCCAGCTGACTCCTCGCATCTGCCTGTATATGATGGTAGGTGCTGGAGGGAATCGAGCTCCTCGCTGTGCTAATCCCTGGCTCACTGGAGTTCTGTGCTCAAGCAAGGTGACTCCAGTCAGAGGAACTCGACTTCAGTTGTGCTTTGATACCCATCCCCTCCATCTTATTTATCCCTTACTGCGCACAGAGGACAGGTGGCTGCTGAAATGGTTTGTTAAATGCTTTTACTGATGCCCTGTGAGAATTCAATGTAGTGTCTGTTTTCCCCTTGTTACAGGTTGCTGAAATTTTAGAAATGCCTCCCATGAGAGTGTATGAAGTAGCAACCTTCTATACAATGTATAATCGCAAACCTGTTGGGAAATACCATATTCAGGTCTGCACTACCACACCTTGCATGCTGCGAGACTCTGATAGTATTTTAGAAGCCATTAAGAAGAAACTTGGTATGACATAAATTTGTAATATGCTTTTTGTAATTTTTTAACCTTTGTTTAATGATATTGAAGTAATTTTTTTATATGGTGGGGACAGAGCAATAATATTGAAAATACAGTGACATCATTAGAGAACAGGCACTAAACACTTCAAATTTCAGATCTGGCACTTATTCTTTATTTTTAGAGATTTCAGTATAGTAGAGCAGAAGAGGCCATTGTCTGGAGTGCCATTTAGTGGTCTTAGTGGTTTTAAAGGCAATTTGCCAGGAAATGTATTCTAATGTGAGCACTGGACTGAGAAAGTAAGCCCTGTTCCCATATATAGGAGAGGACTCTGAATGCTATGGCACTTTTTTTATATGAAAAATAAGATTTTTAAGGTACATGCTATATTAAAGTTTTTTGTGTGTGGCTTTATTTTTTTTTTCCTTAAGTAAGGTGATAGCATCATAGAATGGTTTGGGTTGGAAGGGACCTTAAAGATCATCTAGTTCCAACCCCCCTGCCATCAGCAGGGACACCTTCCACTAGACCAGGTTGCTCAAAGCCTCATCCAGCCTGGCCTTAAATCCTGCCAGGGAGGGGGCATCCACAACTTGCTTGGGCAACCTGTTCCAGTGTCTGACCACCCTCACAGTGAAGAATTTCTTCCTAATATCTAATCTAAACCTCCCCTCTTCCAGTTTAAAGCCGTTACTCGTTGTGCTATCACTACACTCCCTGATAGGGTCCCTCTCCATCTTTCCTGTAGGACCCCTTTAAGCACTGGAAGGCTGCTATAAGGTCTTCCTGGAGCTTTCTCTTTAGGCTAAACAACCCCAAGTCTCTCAGCCTGTCCTCACAGGAGAGGTGCTCCAGCCACCTGATGACCTTTGTGGCCCTCCTCTGGACCCACTCAAGCAGGTCCATGTCTGTCTTATGCTGAGGGCCCCAGAGCTGGACACAGCACTCCAGATGGGGTTTCATGAGTAGAGAGGCAGGATCACCTCCCTCGACCTGCTGGCCACACTTCTCTTGATGCAGCCCAGGATATGGTTGGCCTTCTGGTCTGCGAATGCACATTCCTGGCTCATGTCCAGCTTTTCATCCACAAGTACCCCCAAGTCATTTCCTCAGGGCTGCTGTCAATCCACTCGTTGCCCAGCCTGTATCCATGTTTGGGATTGTCCCAACTCAAGTGCAAGACTTCGTATTTGGCCTTGTAGAACTTCATGCAGTTTAGGTGGGCCCACCTTTCTAGCCTGTCAAGGTCCCTCTGGATGGCAAACATGATGTTAATGTAACTTAAGAATTCTCTGTGGAAAAAGCCAATTGAGAGTGCTGCTGCATCATATGAGATGTAAGGAGAACCCAAGGATTTTGTGTGTGTTAGGGTTTTTTTTCTCTCCTTGTTGGGTGGTTATGGGGCGAAGAGCTAGAATCAGCAACTAAAGTCTTCTTCTGTGAGGTTGTAAGCTGTGCTAACATTTCCTAAGAACCACTGTGATAAGAGCTGCAGAACAGCTGCTTATCTTGCATTTTATCTATTATGTTGTCTGGAAAAGGCATATTTAGATAAAATTTGTCTTTGTTTGTTACTGCAAAGATAGCTTAATTTTAACTAAACTCTTAGCCTGATAAATCAAAGCATTAAGAATGATTGTTTTTCTCTTACTGAGATACAGGCCTTACTTTGACTTTTATTAGTTTTTCCTCCCTTCCAGTAACTATGGAGGAAAACTGCTTTTTAGCATTCTTCCTTCCCTGGAGTATTTTGTTGAGATCACACTGTTGAGATGTTATTCTGGCTAACCTGCCCTCTGGGGGAGGTCTGTGTCTGTATCACTAGAACAATCATGTGTCATGGAAGCTAAGTATGTGTGTAGAGTTGTTCAGGAAATAAGCCTTTGTGTATAAACCTGCAAGTTGCTTATGAATTTGTAGCTAATAATGTTAATGCTTGGATCTTGGTTAATTTGGGAATTCAGTACTCAACACTGTGTACTAACACATTTCATATCAGCACATGAAAGCTATGTTTTCCCTATTTTTCCATTCTATTGTATAGATTATTAAAAATATTCTGAGTAAAACTGTTCCGTTTCTTAGAACTGTAATTTCATGGTTATTTTTCAAGGAATCATACCTGTAAACCTTTAAATGAGGTCTCAAAAATGTATCCAAAGACTGACTTCACAGTTTATTAGAATTTTTTGTTTAATGGAAACATTTTGGACTCATTTAAGAGGATTTAACTATCCAAATGTTTTTTTGAGGCCAAATACAAGTAATGAGAAGACTGTGGGGAACTTAGACTCAGGCTTCATTAATCTTGTTCAATAACCATTGCTGAAGATAATATTCTTTATTGGTTTAGGCATAAAAGTTGGGGAAACCACACCTGATAAACTCTTCACGCTGATAGAAGTGGAATGTTTAGGTGCTTGTGTAAATGCACCGATGGTACAAATAAATGACAATTACTATGTAAGTATTACATTCCCTTTTAAAAGACTAAACTTCTTTACCTGATTACCTGTATTTTCACTTGTTTCAGATTCTGAAGTTTTGGTCAGTTACTTCAGATTCCTATTGGCAGGGACAACCTATAACCTAGAGCATCTTTTAGTTTCTTGTCCTCTTCCTAGAACACTTTATCTCTATCACAGTGTATCCATGTATTTTTCCTTTCAGTTACTGTCTTGATTTACACAAGTGGGGTCATGCATTTTTGCAATAGTGGTCTGCCCGTAAATCTGAAATCAGGTATTTGATAAGCTTTTAAAAGCACTTTAAAGCAGTCCGTTGGAAACCATGAACTGGTTTAACACTATTTTTGAACTTTCAGACTTCTGAATTTTGGCTTGCTTGGATGCCATCACACCAAAGGAATCGATGGACTGACTTGACTCCAGCTTTTAAAAAAAACTTATTTTAAAATATTTTGTTATCACAGTCTTGATTTATTTTTAAAGAACTGTTCTCTTTAACTGTACCTGCAATTTTTTTGGCACAGCTGACACCACGTTTTGCAGTATGTGCAATGGCACGTGTATAGTAGGTAGGCAGAGATCCAGCTCACTAATAGACCAAGGATGCTGAAAACACATCCATGTTTTAGAAGACCCCCATCAACATCGTTAGCTTTAACATAATTTCTGCAACCATATGTAAAACAAAAATTCTAACATTAAAATGACAGTAGGCTTTTTACTTTTCCTAATTCTTTAAACCTGTATATGTGTCAATGGACAGGTTCAAAATTACCTATGCTAGGGTGACACCTAAGAACCATTAATCTGATGAATTTTGAATGCTGCAATTAGCACAACTGCTGACTCTTTTTTACGTTTTGTCAATGATTTTTATTTTTTTTTAACAGGAAGATTTGACACCCAAAGATATTGAAGACATAATTGATGAGCTAAAGGCTGGCAAAGTTCCAAAACCTGGCCCAAGGTATGCTATATTTTTATAATGCTGGCCAACGACTTGCAGGCTCATCTTTTTAAGAAACTAAATTCCTGCTCCTGTGATTTGAGTTCACAACCTACAGCTAAAAAGCATTAATTAATTTACTGAACAGAAGGGCACGCATTCAGGACCATTCAGTATATTCAAAGCCAAAAAGAACTGGAAAGAACCAAGAAGAGAATTATCACATTCTTGATGACTGACTAGAGGAACACGAAATGTGAAAACATCAGTTCTCATTTGGCTTAGGACCTAATAGGGGAATTATATCACCCGTTGAGTTTTTTTTGTCTATATCATTTCAATCAACAAATGCTTGTTAGTTGGTTGGTTTTTCTTTTGATTTCTGACAAAAACCAGAAAGATTGCAAGTTTGTGAAAGGGTTATTTCTGGGCTTTATTTATCTATTATTTCCCATTGTTCTTTGTTAGCCCAACTACACATGTGTTTGTGTGAATGGAGGAATTAATCTGACTTGGATGTGTAACCTATTGTTTCTGTAATGATTTTTTTAGTACAAGAACGATAATCTTAGAACAGTTAAGAGTTTCCAAACACAGGGAAGCATCTTTAACAAAAATATGACTGATACAATTGGATACTGCCTTTAGCATTACAGGGATCAACATCACTTTTGTCTGGCCAATCTATTAATAAATAAAAATGAAAACTAGTGGTCCTGTCTTGCATTTCAGTTATGAAACCATTTGTCACTACTTGAATCTGGAATTCTTTTGATTTAAGAGTAGCATCATGTGTTTTTGAGGGATGAATAGGAAGAACAAAAGAAAAAACAGGCTTCAGCCTTAAGTCAGATCTGTAACTGCCTTCTACCCAGTGATTAAACAATATCTGAGGTTAGAACAATACCAGCAATTAACTGCTTTCTTTTTTTCAGGAGTGGACGTTTTTCTTGTGAGCCAGCTGGTGGCCTTACTTCTCTGACTGAACCACCCAAAGGACCAGGTTTTGGAGTTCGAGCTGACCTCTAAGGATTTTTGTAATATAAGATGAACTGTCTGAAAATAATAAAGTAACTTTAATCTCAGTAAAATGATGTACACTCTAATACTTTTCTAAAAAATGAAGGAAGCAACAGCAATTCAAGTATCTAACTTACCGTGGTTTTAACCATGTCAAAGCATAATCATAATTCTAGATTATTAAAGAATTATTACAGTCTGTGGGCTGTAAAGTTGACTCACAAGAGGCCACTTATCACTGAGACATGAAAATTGTGATTTTTGATCTGTCAATTGAGAAGTCTTTCAGCTTTTTCTAAGGTTCTTTGAAAAAAGCAACAAAACTGAGTAAATTACAAGTCTGGCAAATGCACAAGGAAACAAATTGAAAGGAGGTTATCTGACAAAACTTCACTGCATGTTAGTTTTAATTGCAATTTAAAAAACAAAAAAACAAACAGGAAAGGTGATCCAAGCTGTGTTGTGGGGGGAAAAAAAATATTATTTTTTTAAAATCTGGTAGGTTCAGTATTAAGTGGTTCTTCTTGAGTCTAATTCTTCTTACTATCATTCAGTGACCAGGAAAAATGTGAAAATTATCTTTTTACCATGTTACAAAAAAAACCCAAACAAACAACCCCAAACCCAAATAACAGTAGTACTCTACTAAAAGAATGAACAGCAACAAGAAATTATGTCCTGTAAAAATTTATTCAATACAGCCAAGGTATGCAGTTGGGGAAAGCCAGAATCTACAAGAACAGTTTAATACATGACTAAGTGTAATATATGAAACTAGTTATTTGATTTGCAGATCCTTCTTTGACCTTACTGCTGTGTATCAACTACTTTTAAGAACTGATCTGTGTGAAATGGAGGTATTTCTCCTGTTATTAAAAAAGTTGAAGATTTCTTTTTTTTAAATTTACTGCATATTGACACACATACATATATGCCTGTAAAATCTGGCAAATTCTATACAGATAAATACATTTCAATGTAAATTAGGAAATGCAAACATGTCAGTTACCTGAGATCATATTCTGTCTCCCTCTTCTGAAATCTGCCACGGAGCTTACATTCTTATTACAATTAATGTGCTAGATGGAGCTTAACTGTATTATTTATATTTTATTCTGTATTTGGTTTTTTTGATATTCTGATTAACAGTACTTTCCTGCACTCTTTCTCTCTTGTGAGTCAGATTTTGTATCTACAGATTTCCCTGCATCATTATTATCTCATATAGTCTGTTTGTGCCCCACCTTTATTTCAGTAGGTTCTGTGATGTTCCTTGATGTATTGTTAAACAAGTAGTGTTACTGTTGGTAGTTCTGAGAGCAAAATATATCTGTGTATCACTTGTACGTAAAACTCGGTATCCCTTCTGTATTACTAAATTTATAAAATGAAATCAGTTAATTTCATACAAATGGAAAAGTAAATGCGATAAATACAAGTCACAAGTGAGACAGTCACCCAATACGCATGACAAAAAATCTTGTGTGTAAGTGGTGTAGAACACTGCACATAGGAGGAAAATAGTACATGGATTGAAATATTATCTGTAATTTAAAGTTCTTCTGGAAAGGTCACTGGTGTTTGTAATAGCCACAGGCCTTGTAGCAGGCCAGGCATCTGGCACTATGTGGCACGTGTCTAGAGACATAAAAAAGACGAAAAAAAAAGACAGAAAGCATGTTACATTTTGATGCAGAGAGCCTCATTTCAATAAAGCAGTCTAGCAAACTAAAGTGTTTGCTTTATTATAACAAAGCTGTATTCTAGTTCATACAGGATTACCTCAGTCTAACTTAGTATGAAAGTAGGCCACTACTTTTCTTAAAGTACATGCTCAATATAAATGAGGATTTTCCAGACGTTATGGAACTATCATGAGCTACAGTTATCCATAGTTTTGTATGTAACTGCATAATTGTACTGAAGGGAAACACAGTTTTAGACCTGCCAAGCTTGAAACTTCCAAGTATAGAAAACTAAAGCTCTAGAATGCCAGACTCCTCCCATTCATAAAGCTGGACAGAAAAATGTGTTGCCTTGTCCCACTTCTTTCCCCTTTTCATTCCATCTGTACATGAAAAGTCTTGATGTCTGTCTGATGAGCAGAGCATGGACCTCAGCAGTTTCCCCTTTGTTGGAGATCATGTTAGTGATGTTGCACAGACAAGGACCTCAGTCATTCTGATGCAACACGTAACAGTCTGCCAATCGCCTCCCTAGAAAAGGGGAATGTACATTATCCTTACTGTGTGGTACAAGTCTGATACACCACTGTTCAAAATTAAATTGAATATTGTAGGGCAGCTATAGAACTGAAATATTTGAAGAGGGATAAGCAAATAACCATTACTCTCCCATCTTTCCCACTTCATTCATCAATTGTATGAGGCTTTACGCTCCTGGTTTCTACATCAAAAAAGCTTGGCAATCCTTGCATTGAGATAAATCATTAAATAAAACATTCACAGCTGTTATTTCAGGTTTTGTTGAAATTTGAACATTTCAAGCATCATTTGTCACATGCAGTTTTTCATACAAAATTACTGTCACAATGATAACTTAGGTGTAACTGTGAAGGACTGACAATGATCATTATGGAAGAGTTCTAGAATAGTGTAAGAATTAATATATCCAAGTCCTCTTTTCTGTTCTTGAATAGCTGCAGGCAATGCCCTGTGCTTGCTTTTACTGGCAATACTGAATATTTTAGGTAACAAATATTAGCAGGACTTAATTTCCATTATTCTCAATCCTGAATAGCAGAGGTTTACTAATAGTAATTCTGGGCAGCTGATGCTAACCTGTCAAATAATTACACACTTACCATTCTGCAGTTTCAACATACTAGTTAATACCTTGGACTCTGAGAGTACTGGGTGGTGAGTTACAGGAAAAATGAATTAACTACAGCAACAGTCAACACAATCCTTAAACTGGTAATGCAGCAGTAACAGAACCGATTCAGTGGTTTTGGTGGTCTTGTTTCTCCCCCTCTTCTTGAATGAGGAAAAAGTGAAAGAATTGACATGCTGTATTAATTCTTCAAATGTAAAAGTGGAAGGAAAAACAGACTACCTAGAGAAGATTTTTAGGAAAACATGTAGTCTTGGGAAAGGAAATGAGATTTAGACATGGAAGCAGAAGACACACAAAGAATCCACTGGACTGAGAGAGTGGTGGTTCCTTCCTGTGGTAAAGATGGAAGAAATTCTGGAGTAAGAGGAAACTCCACTAGATACCCAATCATGTGTTAGATGCTGGTTAAGGGAAAGCATTTCCATGACCTCCACACACTGCTAGAAAAATGTTACCTGGACCTGTGTTCTATCAAATAGGAAGAAGCAATGAAATTCAGTTCCACTGTAGAGTATGTTAGCCGGGCTCCTGTGCTAACCTGCTGGTTACATACCCGAGGCTAGTGAGTGTGCTTTCACCAGTGTGACATTTTGCAAGTTCTTGGGATAAAGTTGTTATTTTTAGATTTTTGTACTGCAGTCTGAGACTTCCAGTCATTCAATTAGTAGACTGAATTCACCAATGACACAGTTCAGCAGATGAAACTCATTCAAAAGCAGACCAAGCACGGCAATCAAGACTACATCAAACAGAAGGGCTTTTTTAGCTGCCTTCTTAAAATATCACATCTGACAGCCCACCTGTTTTCAGTACCTTTCAGAAGCAATCTGTATTATTCAGTAACACGTGAGTTCAAAAACCACACAGATTCTTAAAGTCTTACCACATACTATTTTAATAATCAGATGCAAACCTTTCACGAGTACAAATGAATGACCATTTTTCAATGCTGCAACTAGGACTAACGTCAGCCTCCTTCTGTAACCCCTCCGATGCACTTACATGACGCCTGGCGTATTGGCGCAAGGAAGACACTGTTGAAATCTGCAGGGTCTGTGGGGGTTCTTTTGTTCGCTTTGTTTAACAACAGAAGCGGGCGCAAGCTCCCAACAGCAGGCTGTGCCCGCCTGCGGGGCTGGGGGCCGCATGCCCCACACAAGGTGCTGCAGCTCTTCGCCCAACA